AAACTAAGGCTTGACTCCTGATAAGAGATAAAAGAGGGATTTCTCACCACCCAAGCAAGAAATAGGTGAGGCTGGAGAAGGAAAGAGCTGACGGCAGAGGGAAGGAGGAGGAAAATTTCACTGCACGTGTGCAGAGCAGGCTTTTGGCGAGAGATGGGAGGGCAGGGGGCAGGGCATTCCGGTGCGTTCCTGCCCAAAAATAGCCCTGCCTATATATATTCATATTGATTCATATCCTTATACACACATACACACACACACATGTTAGGGGTGGGCAAAAACTGGAAAAATTTGGTTTATGTTGGTTGATGATTGAACCATGAACCGCACTGGGAGGTTCATTTGCAAACCAGTTTGTGGCCCTGCAAACCCCATTGAAAGGGACCACAGTCCCTTTAAATGGGGTTTGCAGAAGGACCGAAAAATGGCTGGGCGAAGGAAAGCAGCCTACTCCCCACCACTCAGCTGTTTCGGGCTGTCTTGTCCAGTCTCTTTAAAGAAAGCCAAGAAAGCCAAGAAAACAGCTGAGTGGTGAGGACTGTCTGCCCAAAAAGTGCCTGCTCCCCACCTGCCAGTTGTTTTTCCCCGGGATGTCTTGTGCAGTCCTTTTAAAGTTTAAAGGCACTGCAAAAGGCAGCCTGAAAGAGCTGAATGGCATGAGCGGGCACTCCCTACCATTCAGCTGTTTTTCAAGCTTTCTTGTGTACTTCCTTTAAACTTAAAAGGGAATGCACAGGAGAGTCCAAAACAGCTGAGTGGCAGGGAGCAGACTGCTACCTGCTGCTCAACTGTTTTTGCAGCTTTGATGGGGAACAATTAGGGGTTTAAAGTTCTTTTGTAGTGCTTGTGAAATATGTGCCAGTCAAAAAGAATGTTAGATCTGACTTTAAAATCCCTTGATAAATACCTAAGCAAGTATTCGTTGTATCTATCAAGTACTAGTCAAGATCAGTTGGCACTGTCTTCTAATAATAATTATAATGCAGCATGCATTGTCAATGCAGCATTGACAGTGATATAAACAGTTGGCATTTTGGTATTTTTTTTTGTTTCATGGCTATCAATAGACAGCATTTCTGTAATAGTCAGTATGTTGTGCAGATTTGTGAATGCAAAATTAGAAAGCTTGCATCAAATTTTTAATTTTGCAGATTTCACAACAACCCCTCCCCCTTGTGGGATATTACTAAACTCAGAAAGTTTTCTGTTAGGTTGCTGTTAGGTTGCATGTCTTGTGTATCTAACTGTTAACAAGCATTTTTATATAATGGTTAAATACCGTTTAGGTAATTGTAATTTATGGTAGTAATTTGTTGAAGATAGCAAGATAACTCCACTGGGCTTAATTACATCCCCCAGCTACATTTATAGCCAGCAATGCTTGAGAACTTACTCCTCATATAAAAGGCTGCATTGTGGAAGTATGTTTCAGTTATCGTTTCATGCCCCTCTGAGTGACCAGGTTTTCCCCTGTTGCTGTAGAGTCAGTGATCAGTGCCCTGGAACAGGAATACTTAACTTTATTTTCTGCTTAAGTCCATGCTATTCCACAGGGAATTTCTTCTCTTTTCTAACCTGCAGGGAGAATCCGTGTGGTTTAATGATTAAAGCTTTGGGCTACAATCAAGGCAGCCTAGGTTCAAATCCACATTAAATATGCATAGAGAGAGTTTCCATGCTGTATCCACACACCTCTTCAGTCTTCTGTGGCTCAGAGTGAAAAATCTGGGAGAACTGGGTTTGATTCCCCACTCCTCCACTTGCAGCTGCTGGGTGACCTTGGGCAAGCCATAGTTCTGTCAGAGCTGTTCTTGAAAGAGCTCTCTCAGCCCCACCTACCTCACAGGGTGTCTGTTGTTGGGAGGGGAAAGGAAAGGAGTTTGTAAGCTGCTCTGAGACTCCAAGTGAAGGGCGGGGTATAAATCCAATCTCCTCTTCTTCTTCTCTCCTGTGTCCACTAAGTTGAAGTGATGTGAACAGCACCAGTTTCTTTAAATGAAGAGTTTAAAGCAAATATGTGATACCTGTTCCAAACCCTAAACGACACTAACATAAGAAAGGGCACTAACTTAGTGATGTTTCGACAAGAGCTAGCTTTTTTCTTGATGTCATTTCATGTAAGGTCAGGGCTAAGGGCCATTTTACAAAAGATTTATGGATACTTAAAATATGAAGCGTATGTGACTTGTATGTTGCAAGTATTTCTGTCAAAAATTCCATATTGACTATAGGTTCCTGTTAGGTGTACACTCAGTGGGAAACATGGCATTACTGCTGTGTAATGTGAGGTAACTGAAGGAGTGTGAGCTGAAAAGTCTTCTTTTCAAATCTCACCTCAGCAGTAACTCACTAGATAGCTTTTGGCAAGTTACTACTTTCAGCCTCCCTGTTTGCAGTATGATGATACTGACCTACTTCATAAAGATATTATGAGATCTGAGAGAAGCTGTGTTTCATATATGCATAAATACAAAAATTTGCTGCTATATAAAGTTTGTAAATGTCTGTTTCAGATGGACCATCAAATGAGAAAGATTCTGAAGAAAAGAAAAAGGAAACAGCATCTTCATCACAAAATAGTCCTGAAGCACGAGAAGAAAGGTATTTAATCTTTTAAGCTGATAATGTTAGGGTTAAATCAATCACTTCAAGTTGTTGACAATGAGAATAATAAAGAGGGGGAAACAGTTGCCTGCAAGATTAATTGGGTTATACCTTAATGGAATGGTCCGGGAAGTTCTCTTATAAAGGTTGTGGACTGTGCTACTGTGCATAGGACATATTATCTCTTTACTGCACATTATCCTGTTTGTCACTGCATACCATTTTCCTGCATTGTATCTGCTCTCTGCATCATGTCTAATATGCTATGCTTGCTTAGGTTTCTATAATCCTAGCACATGGTTTGATAGATGTCTCATCATATTGGTTATATTGATTTATATTGTGTAATCCACTTTGAGCCTTAGGGAGAAAGATGGACTGTCAATATAGTCAATAAATATGGGAATCTCCAACATTGAAAAAAGCTTATAAATTAAGTATTTCCATTTATTGTGCAGATGTATCTGATTCTGGGCATGACTGAAAACCTCTGCCTATAGACTGGGAAGATCTGAAAGAAGTATAGTGCAGATTGACCACTGATGTAAATATTTATAGCCCATTCACCTCTTTAATGCAGAATTGTACAGTTAATATTTTTAATGGTGTAGTACATATCAGGCTGTGAGAGTTGGTACAGTTCATGTAGGAATTAGTTTAATGTAGATCTTGTGTCATGTCAGAATGTAAAGCAATTGCATACATTAGTTTTGAACTTAATGCTATTTATAAGATCCACAAGTAAAGTCCAGCAGTGTTCTTTACAGCTATGTCAGATAAGTTTTGAATGTTTGGTCTCCCCAGTTTTTCAGCACACAGAATACCTTAGACAATAGACAGTCATATAGTTTGGTTTGTGTCTGGTTAATGTATTCATACATACTACAAGGAAATGAACTGCCAAGATGAGATATAATTTACAATCTTACATTTTTTGTGTGTGAGCATGAAAATCATGGGGAAAGATCCATGATCTTCATGATGTCACCATGTGACCATACAGCATAAAATGTACAAATCAATTAATACCTTTTCTGGCTAATTAGATCAACACTTGTTTTTGGTGTATCTGTATGTATTTGTGACCACTGCAAAAGGCCCATAGGGCCAAAACACAGTTGGTTTTGTTTACTGTGGCTTTGTTTGTGGACTGTCAACTTCGAGATACTTATTGAGTCAGGTTTAATGTGGTCTTATTTGTATATCATCAACTTTGAGAAACGTATTTGTATATATTGTATATTGAGGACTACTCAGTCCAGTGGCTTTCAGTCTAAAAGCTAAATTCAAGGCCTGTGATTTTTAACTTTGTATTTTAAGTGCATAATTAATTGATTGATTTTTATATTGATTTTGTTCAGCCTTCGTGGTACCTAATTGGCTTGTGTCTCACAGTCCACAGATTGGTGGGTGCTGGAAAAGTAAGATTTTTCCAGATAGCCAGTTAGATCCAGGCTAAATTGGCAATTTCCACTGATTTCTTCCTTCCTGATACAGACCCTCTTCATGTTGTTCCTCAGAGTCCCCTCTCCTCCGGAAGCAGCATTTCCTGGAGCTCAGTGGAGTGCATGGTGGGAGGGGAGATGCAGGAAAGTTTCATTCTGTCATTGAAAATTTCAGTGTGGATCCAACCCAGTTATGTGAAATGCCACCTTCTTACTGCCATTTGCAATGAATGTAAGAATAATTTTTGATGTTGAAGGCACTGCAGGTATTTTGATTTTGTGGCTGAAATATCCTATCTAAAGAGGAAGTTTAAGTTTGAACAGTGATTAATGGGACAGCAGCCATTACATACATCTTTTTGCCCATTCAGCAGTTCCAGTAGTAACTCAAGCAGCAAGAGAGAGGAAGCTAATGCTTCCTCAGAAACTTTTATCTCTTCTTTTCCTCGGGCTCCAAGTACATCTGATTCTGTACGAGTGAAATGCAGAGAAATGTTGGCTGCAGCTCTTCGCACAGGAGGTAGGCGCTGTTACATTTCATTCTGTTATGCATTTCCTTTCTGATGTGTTTTAAGTCTTATAAATAAACAGTAACCCCATGATACAAACACATCAAGGGAGTATCAATATGGGGGGGGGGGGTTGGCATTAACTTCACCCATTTTGCATTCCAGAATGTCTCTCTGTTTTTGGAAATTAGGTAATGCATTTCTTAAGCCTTTATGTAATTTTGTCATATCTCTTCGAGAGATGTATTAAGTTCTGTTCAGTTCTACATTAATAAATGCAACTGCAT